TGACACCTTAACTCTAACAGGTCATTTGTTTGAGGCTTTCTATAATTACATTCTGAACTAAATAAGGGGGCCTAATACGTCATTATATTAATTACTCTCTTCATAGTACATGATACAAAAACCTATACAATATGGAGAGTTCATTTTTTAAAATCTCACTCTGTTCTCTCCCTTCTTCCTTTTAAATACAGCTCAGTATTTGTTCAGTACTCCATTTTTCTGTACTGTGTAATAATTCATTTTTGCCTCTTCCTCTACATTCCCATGTTTTACTACCTCTTCTCATGTTGTCATAAAAAGCTTTTTCTAATCACTCATTACACTGGCTTTTTTCAATACTTGTCTTGGCTTTTTTCTCATGCATGACAAAGGCCTTGGGGCAATTACCCTGCGTAAAAACTTCCCATATAATTACAAAGAGAAGATCAGTAGGTTTTTAGTGCAAGCTAAAGTCCCCATGTAAGATCAAGCACTTACGACCTTTTCATCCAACAATCCTTTCTGTCTGGCCTCATTTCCCCTTTCACATCCCAAACAAGAACTCAGATCAAATGATCTGCGTATTATATAGCAGGTCTGAGAGGATGTGCAAGCAGTGACTGTCCACAATCAGATGGTGAAAAGCACTCACAAATCTCCTGGCTGCTCTAGCGGGGGCAGATGAAATAGCTTGAGAAGGGTCCCAAACATTTTTTAGGGATCGAAGAACAAGTATCATTTATTTGTTTTTTGATGCAGTGGCTAGCTCAGGATAACCGTGTGTTTGAAAGCACAGCAGTGAGCTGCTTCCACTAGCTTAAGTGCCTGCAACATCTAGGAGTTTCTAGCATGTTAGCTACATCAATGTACAAGTGAGCTGTCAATTCCAAGAATATTGAATTACTAGCTGGCCGATGTCTTTCCTACATGTGAGTATTTCTCAAGAAACAACGCTCCAATTTCATACAGAAGCTCAGATCTCATAGAATTCCAGAAGATTCTTGGCAAGTGGAGCTACAGCTGTTTAACATGTTTATTTGACTCTCCACAGAATCAAATGCAAGAGCATTTTGTAGATTTCCTTCTAAAATGCATTTTCTTTTGCAGCTGCAACACTAAAGAGCTGTAATAATGTCCTTAGCACAGCTTTGCTGATATCGTCATTTCCACCAAACCCCATTACACACAAGCAAATACAAAGCTTAGAGAAAACACGTTATTTCATAAATAAAAGCTTATAAGCATATAGGAAAGAATAACCTTATTGGAAACCAAACCAAATTAATTTTTATCATTTTGAGAAATATTTTAAGGACAAATGAATGGTGCTAATAGCAATTATGGGCTAACAGTTATGCAATTGAGAAGTTATTGTCTTCGAGATCTTTTACTATTAAATTATTCATACATCCTCAAAAAAGAAAACCATTGAAAACCCCCACAAAACCAAAAATCCCACAAACAGAAACAATCATCCCCCAAATTTTCAAACCCCGAATGTTGCTTTTGTAAAAAGGTTTGGTTTGTTTCTGAAAAGCAAATATCTAGATTCCTTGGAGAAGCAGTAGAGGGTACAAATTCTTTCCATAAATAAATTACATCTTGCCCAGTTGTTCCAGTCACTGTTCACACTGTTAAAACATATCCATGAAGCGAGGAAATCAAAATTACTTATCATATACTGCCATTACTCATTGCTTAGTAATAGAGCTGCAAACTTGGGCTTTATCCTAAAACACCTAGAACTCCCAGCAAATTCAGTAAGGGCTACAGATATGCTTTTTTGAAAATACAATTTTGAAAAAAATCTTTTGACCTTAAAGTCCTTGATTTCAGTCTCTACTCATATTTTTCTCAAATAGAGAAAATATAGAGGAAAAGAAAACATTTTCCCTCTGCCTCCCAATTTGTGTAGTCATTTAAAGCTGAAAGAAGCAAATATGAAGTGTTCTCACATGAGAAGTTTTCTATTCATTTTGCTGGTCTACATAACAGACTAAATTGAATGCACCACAGTGAAGAATCCAGTCATAGTGCTCAAGGTTGGATTTTTGTTGAAACATCAACTAGTTTTTTGGTAATTCTTAGAGTGCTGATATTCCTGCGATATAGTCAGTAGTGTTCTAATACACAACTAAGCATCTGCTCTTAGCATTTTCAGCATAGCCACCTGGTAAGGCATCCTATTTCACTATTCAGGCTAGCAACAGGAACCAAGGATGGTCTGTGAGCATTACCCCATTACCAAGATCTCAGGCAGATAATGTCAGAGCTAGAAATACGTCAATACTCCATTAGGCTGCAAATGTCAAGTTGTTAATTTCTTGAACAAAGGGCACATATAAGCCTGCTTTAAAGCTAACTGTATCCCAAGCAACAATTTCAGCCATATTCTGGTGAATGAGCCCCAGGACTCCAGAAGCAACCCAGGAATTGCACGCGCAAGCTTTAACCCAGCATTTCCCAGCCCTACCCTTACTCCCAAAAAGCAAAGTGGGCCACAGTGTAAGCAAAGGGGACCTAACGTTCCCTCCAACCTCTCTCCCTCACATTTCCCACCAAGATAGCTTTTAGTTACTCTTTCAACACAGTGAGAAGCATTTGGACAATGCTTCAAAGAAAACAGCTGAAATTAATCACAGGATGAAAACAGAGGAAACTCCTTTTTTTGCCTACAGAAGAGTTAAGGAACAACTTTCAACTAAAGAACAAAACAAGCCAGCCTGAACTGCAGTACATGGAGCTGTGCTCTTCCTGTTATTAGCTGCGGTGGCACTGGGGAACTAGACATAAAAGGCTGTATCTGATTGCATAACAGTTAATTACTTCTTTTTGGATAAATTAATCCTCCACTTTGTGAACACAAAATTATCATGCTCATAAGCTGTTATGAAAACTGTGGAAAGAAAAATATTCAACATGCTTTTCCAAAGAGAAGTACATCCCTATATTAAGAACTCACTGAGAGGATAAAGTGTCCTTCAAAATTGGGAAATGCACAGGGGGAAAAAAACAAATTATTTTAATGTCTACCAACTGCAGAAGCAAAGTTGTCCAAAGACCTCCTCAGGATTGCTTTTGATATGAGAGCACCTGATGAAATCAATTCCACAATTGAATACAAGTGCCACGAGCTTCTTACTCAGAGTACCAATAAGAATTTAATTAGCATACCACTGACTGATACTTTTTTTTTTAATTACATATAAAAGCCAATATTACCTATAGCCACAGCAGGCAGTCATTTCCCATTCATATCAGTATCTAAAAAAACAAGTAACCTCTAAAGTTTGCAGTCATGTCCACTATGCTAAATGACATTTGCACAGCTGAAGACAATCCCTGCCCAAGAGCTCTTAATCAGTATTTAAAAATAAAAAGACAGAAGAATTATAATAAAACAGAAATAAGACAGGCTTGGCAAGGTAAGATGATCATGATATTAACTGCATTACATTGTTACAGACACATTCTACTACACAAATAGATGGCTAACAGCTTAATAATAGTAATAATACTAGTAATAAGTTTTCTGCCACAAGTAGAAAGTATTTTCCTGAAAAGCAAGTTTATACCAGGAAGACTAAGTTAATCTACTGGAAAATGGAAATGCTTCACTGTTCAGTATGATGAACTCACAGCACCTACTTTTGGCCGCTGATGGATATGCTAAGTTATACTTGAAAAATTAAATGCAATTCTGGCTTATTAAAAACCCCAGAAAACTTTTAGTGATATCAGCAGAATCAGGATCTTAGCCATGATCTGTTCATCTTTAGAAAATTACACATTGAGAAGGTTGCATGGATTCCTCAAGTCTCATAGAGCAGAACTTGTGACTGCTGGATCCCCCGGATTTATAACTGGAAGAAGCAAACAGAGTCAGTATTCTTACCTAGAACAGTATTCATTAATACTATATAAATAAAATAATCCAAATAAAACCACTGAAAATTATGTACATCTAAAAATGCATGTTCTTGTTCTTACCAACTCCAATAAACTAATACATCTTTTTATTTATATTTGTCTTGCCATGAGCATAGCATGAAGGAGTCTAACCAGCTTGAACTAGAAGCTATATATCATGAAATCTCTGCTTCAACCCAAGAAAACCTCAAACTGGTACCAAATTATAACCCAGCATAACTAGATATCATTAAAGACACCATTCAAAACAACTATCATGTAAGTTAAAGCTGCAAACACATCCAAGTTAATGGTATTCTTTCTACTGACTTTTATGGTATCTATATCAAAAGTACTGATTTTAATTTTTTTTAAACATATCCTGTAGTAAACACATACCTTTTTAACTCAATTCTCAACTTACCTCTAACATTTTTATTACAATTTTCACATAGAAATGAGAAATCCCCAATGACACTCTAAACATTGAAGGCAACAAAACTAGCACCACAAACAAAATCATCCAGATAGATAAAATCTTGCCCTCTGCAAGGCCGTGGCCCTCTCCATTTTCTTCCATGCTTGCTCCTTCAAAATGCCAACCTGCTGCCTTTCTGAGAATACACAGTCATCTGTAATGGAGAATCCAGCAAGCTTCAAGAGACAAAGCCAAATAAAAAGTACACATTCTAAGAGCCGAAGCTACCCCCAACAGAACACTGCTGCCTTCTGAAGCCTGCCACCACATAGGCTCTCAATGATGATGTAATTTCTACCCCTTGTCCCACCCTAACTCCACCTACTTCCTTTTAATTGATAAGGATTTACTCACCATGTATAATACAGGGGAGAAGGAATTAAAAACATGATCAGTAATGATATAAGTTAGGTAATAAGATGCTGTTAATAAGGAAACTTGTCAATTTCTCAACAAGTTTTCACAAGGCATCTCACCAATAAATTACAATACAGAACCAAGTAGGTGTCATTTTCAGACTGCCTAAAATATAGTCTTCTAAAACTCATTTAATACACATGAAGCACATCTCCAACTGACATTTGCTCAAATTAGTGACTTATTTGGTCAGACATTCTACTTCATGGTGAAATGACTGCCTCATTTTGGTATTTAACCAAATGAGCTAAACTGAAGCTTGAGGTACAAGACAGGCTTTTTTATTTTATTTTATAACAACACCTGGGAAATGGAGATGCAAATTTCAGCAGGCAGGAATCAGCAATACAATAAAACCCACTCCCTCCACTGCTCTGTAAGAAATGAGCCAAACTGTACTGCAGGGTTACAAAATGTACTGTGAAGTAACAAGTCATCTACCTCTGCATCTATTTCACTACAGAATTTAAATACAATAGATAAGCAGGTTTCTCCTTTTATCCTGTCAAATGCCAATAATTTAATTCAGTATTGTTAGGAAAGACCCAGTTGAACTCCTTACAGACTCCTCTCCTGTATGCATCACAGAAGAAATAAACTTCATCTCTAGAACCTAAGAGGAGCCCACCAGCTGCTCATTTACAACCTTATCACAGAATAAATTTAACCTTGGTGGAACAAGCAGTTCAGGCATAACTTCCAAGATAGTGATATGCTGGTCCACAAAAGATCTTTCCTTTGCACATGCTTACAGTAGTGCATTTGTCTAAAGCTGGAGCTGTCCTTTCAAAATATCCCCATCCCCATGTACCGCTGTTTGGTTTACGTTACAGAACAGCCTCAGTACACGCAAATTGGATTCCTTATAAATGAAAGCAGACACAAAGAGCCTCTGTAGAAAGTACACCCAATACCCTCCACATAGTAACAGAAGCACAGATATCAGAGTGAGCTGCACCACCGAGTCCTCCAGTTTATACCATGCACCCAGACACCAACAAGCAGGCTCTTGACATGTTACAAAGCTCACGTGATACCATGACATGCTGCTTCTGCCACATGAGTCAAGTAGCTTCTGTATCTTCAGATTTGCTGCTGAATGTCATCCCTCAGGTCTTTGTAACTACAGTGCATCTTCTTCAGCAATCTAACTTTTCTTTTGCCTCTTCTTTTCATTATTTACCTGCTTTACCTTCTCTCTCCTTGCCAACCTCTTTCTGAGCCTTCTGTATCTTCTACAAAACCTCACTGGTTTGTTTTTTAATTATTTCTACCTTCCCATTGCTCTTTCTCCCAATAGCAACTGCAAGCCCCTCACTGTCTCATTACACTGCTGCAGCCAGGCACACCATTACCTGCTATTTCTCACCTGCCTCACCAAAAGGCTCTAGTTCTAGGCTGCTCTAGGAATGATGTTTCACTGTTTGTAAAACAGCTTTCCTCACCCATTTCTGCTTAGCTACCATTCCTTACCTTCTCATTTCTGGTCTCTTCCTTGAGTCATTTGCCCTGCTAACACACATTCCCTAGGGTGGCATACAGTAGGGATCGGGATGAGCCAGCGCTCATCCTCTAGCGCAACACAGCACATCTCTGAATAGCTACCTTCAACCTCAGCACAGGGGATGAGCATGTAAGGCATCTGGGTGATAAAAACTTCGTGGGTGGGAGGGTGGAGGTAGTTTCTGGGACCTAATTTGATGGAGGAAAGGTGGGCCAAATGAAGTATTGATAGCACACCGGGAAGTAACAGGTGACTCACTAAATGGGATGCCTCAGCAATAAGCCTATGCACACGAAAGAGGGATCATTTCTTAAAAGGACAGAGGAAAAGACAGATTTCCCTACCCTAGGGGTACAAAGAAAAGGTTTTTTTTCCTGGATGAGGGAGAACTGTTTTCTGTGCTGTGAGACCTGGTCATTTGCACTGCCTGTCTAACCCTTACAAAGTCATACGCCCTGCCATACCAGGAGCACAGACAGACACTGTAATTCTTCCCTTCCCTGACACCTCTTTAAAAAAAAAAAAAAAAAAAAAAAGCAAGCAAACCCCTCCCATGCTCACCCTTCCATCATGCTGAATGATGGGACTGCAGCCCTTTGTCAGCTATAATTTTCCCTGGCAAACCACTCAGTCCAAGACATCTGAGGTTTTCTGGGTGCTGCTGACACAGCTATCACAGGCATATCCCAAAAAAAGCAGAATGGGTTTGGAGGGGGAACAAATAAAACAGAGAAGCTTTGGCAGTCTATTGTTTTTCACCCAACGTGTCACATTTGCCACACAGCAAAAGACAATTCCTACACCCATTCCACTCAGTTTGCTCCTGGACACGCAGCACCACAACAATCCACTGCAGCGCCAACATCACCTTGAATTCATGGGCCAGCCTGGGAGCCCCAGCCCCTTGCAGGGTTGTGAAAGGGGAGGCCATAGGGATGGCATTCCCACATAAAATGAAAGAAGATGAAGAGTTGCTGGCAGCCTCTCCACCGAGGTGGTCAAACTATCTAGCCCCGAAGGCACTACAAGATCCATATGGCCAGGTCTCTTCTTATCTCTATTCTTTGCTTTATCCACTTTGTACCTCCTGAAATCATGCCAAACATTTCAGTATTCTTAGTGTTCTATTGAAAACCTTTAATGTCACATGGTTGGGGTGGGGGGAACCAAAAAAACAAACCCACCGAAACTGGGAACAACACTGAAATCAAGCAGAGCTTCTACGTCTACCTGTTAACGGTATGGAATAAAAAATCTAATGCAATTGAAAATTGTCCCAAAAAGCACTAAAGAATGAGCTTGAGTACTGGAATTGGTCCAATCGTGACCAAGGAGTTCAGTCTTGGTTAATTTTATGCCAAAAGTGGCTGGCAAAGCTTCTAAAGCATCTTTCTGCTTTTGGGATCATGAGCATGGAAATAACTGAGACATGGTGGTCAAAACAGGTCTACTTCTTAACTCCAAAGCACTCAGGATTGCTATAGAAGTAAATCTGGACTTGAACTGTATCTCTGCCCTGTATGATGATGATGCACTTGCTCATAATGTGAAGGAGAAAGGAAATTCTTTATTTCTCCAGGCAATTCATACCACAGCTTCCTATTTTCCAGTCAGAAAGTTCGCACAGCTTATTACACCCCCATCACAATCATTGATTTTTGTTTATTATTTAAAAAAAACATACAAATGTACATGTTTGTCAAATTCCAGTATGAAGAGCCATGCATCCAACACTATAAGCTGAATAACTACTGTTTGCGATGGGCCTACACAAAATTCCTTGGCACAATAATTTCTTTAAGAATTATCTCTGCCATCCACTGACTAAACAGAGCTTCTGCATGTCATTCTTCTGCCCTTCTCATGTTTATCCCTCTTACCAATAGCCAGCCTGCTGCAATCATGTCCGTTTTGAAGCTGAAAGAGATACTTTATCCAGAAATGTGAAGGTATTGCAAATAATTCAAATAAACATGCAGCAACAGACTGTAGTTTCACTCATTTGTAAGGTCCAGTAAATAACAGCTGATGAATTTATACCAAATAACTACAAGCGCTTTGGTATGGTGAACTACCCTGTATGTCAGGAAAAGTAACAAGACACTTAATGTGCAAAATTCTCTATTCATTTGGAAAAATGAAATTCAACTTAGAAGAAAGGGATGCTGGTGACACAGGAGGAATTCAAGAGCAAGGCTCCCTTTAATTTAACGAATCTCAAATTGACACCTGCAAGCATAAGAAATTAACTTGAAACAATGAAGATATTCCTGGGGTCCTAGGGAAATGAGAAGGAGAGGGAGTGAGTGTCAGCTGCCTACTCTTGGCTTTCGATCCTAAAGGTCATTCTACTAATTTCTTTATTGGATATGGGGGGAAACAGTGACAAAGGATGAGGAAAAGGCTATGGAGCAGGTGCATATACACTGTGAACACTGCAATAGGACGTAACAGCTTTCAAGGAGCAACACTATGGTTTTGCCTTCCCTCTGATATGTTACCTACTGTGGACATGGACTAGGAAGAACACTCTATGTGGCCTCTAAAGAGAAAGAATCACACAGTCACAAAAATTTTGGGAACCACTCTT